CTCTACATAGGGCAACAAAGTGAGACTCTGTCTCAACAAAAAAAAAAAAAAGGAATGGGCAGAGAGCCTCGTAAATATGCTGTGAGGAGTAAGTGAGTTGGTATGCAAAAGTCATAAACAATGCCTGGCCTGTTGTAAACACTCAGTAAATCTTAGTCGTATTTATTTTTGGTTCATCCCTAGACTTCCAGAAGGCCCCTGGCACTGGGACTTTTCTGAGTGTTTTTTATTTTCTCCTGAGACAGAGTCTTACTATGTCGCCTGAGTAGAGTGCAGTGGCATCACAGCTCACAGCAACCTCAAACTCTTAGGCTTAAGCAATTCTATTGCCTTAGCCTCCCAAGTAGCTGGGACCATAGGTGCCCGCCACAATGCCTGGCTATTTTTTTGTTGTAGTTGTCACTGTTGTTCAGCAGGCCCAGGTTGGGTTCAAACCCGCCAGGCCGAGGGTATGTGGCCAGCGCTGTAACCATTGAGCTACCAGCACTGAGCCCTTTTCTGAATGTTTTTGTTGCCTTACTGATTATATGTGCACCCATATAATCTGGGAGGCCAAGGCAGGTGGATTGCCTGAGCTCAGGAGTTTAAGACCAGCCTGAACAAGAGCGAGACCCTGTCTCTAAAAATAGCCAGTCATTGTAATGGGCACCTGTAGTTCCAGCTACTTGGAGGCTGAGGCAAGAGGATCACTTGAGCCCAAGAGTTTCAGGTTGGTGTGAGCTATGAGGCCACGGCACTCAACAAAGGACAACAAAGTGAGACTCAGTCTCAAAATAAAAATAAAAATAGAAATATTATCTGGGTGTTGGGGGGGTGCCTATAGTTCCAGCTACTTGGGAGGGTGAGGCAGGATCACTTGAGCTCAGAAGTTTGGGGTTGCTGTGAGCGGTGATGATGCCATGGCACTCTACCCATGGAGTGATGGAGTGAGATGGAGTGAGACTCTATCTCAAAAAAAAAAAAAAAAAAGTAAAGTAAAAAGAAAGACATAGGGGCCTCTCTGGGGTTAATTGTTTGTATGTATTGCTATGTACCAAAGGGGTTAGAGAATGTTGATTGACTTGGGAATCATTTTCCTGGCTTATGAAAAAAATAGCTCAGTTATGCTCACCTACTGCTGATAGACGGCTCTGTGGTGATTATTCAGTGTGCAGTGTATTGTGCATTTGTGCTTAATAAAAAAAGAAAAAGGTGGGTGGCTCAAAGGAGTAAGGC